TATATATATATAACCAATGTATTTTAACAATTATTGTAATTATTATGCAATACTTAACTTATAATCGATTTTATTATAGAATTATTATAGAAAGTATGTGGAAAAGTTAATACCAAAAATAGCATAAACACAAATGTACAACGCAAGGGAGCGCTCGGAGCAAAGTCGCTTGCCTTTCACCACTGAGGTTCCGGGTTCGATTCCCGTAGGATCCCCGGGTGAAATTTGTTGCTAATCCAAACCCTGTGAAGCGTCCTAAACTTCACCTCTATCCTTATTCCTTCCCAAATCTGGCCTGGTAGACGCAGAGTGCGTGCGCGAAGACTACCTTTCGGCGATTCTCTGACTAAACTGTGACTGACGTAACTTGTCTACCCAGCGATCCCTAGCGGGGGTAGTCATAACGGTGGATTACTCCTAGGAGACGCGTTACGTATATATAGACGCAACAAATATTAAAATTAAAAAAAAACAACAGATAGAACCGTTGCAACTTCCTGAAATGTTAAATCTCGAAATGTTCGAACGACAACTGAAACGGTTTTAGCTCTCCTGCGCCTGATCCATGGGAAATTTGTGACGCTAGGCAACATGCATGGTGTTTGATATTAATAATGTATATAATTCCAAGAAACGTATTCATTGAAGTAAAGTGAATTAATACCATTTCCCCACAATTTGGAGGTTCAATAAGGGCTTAGAATAAGGTTAAGTTCACTTTTACGTATCGCCGAACGAGAAACATGCCAACGACAAAATCAAGCATAATTAACGACGACTGTTCAAGTTTGAAGGCACACAGTGATCTCGTAGAAGTTGAACACGAAGCAGAATACAAGATAGAAGTTTCGAAAATCAACAACGAAAATATTGGTTTGACAAGGACACGTGGGAATGGTATTTAGCAGTATTCAGTTGTTTGAAACGAAGTAAATAAATATGATAAAGTAAACTATTCAACATAACTGAAAAACAGTTGTTTGAGGTCAAAGCAGTGACTTCGAAATAACGTCTTTATCGAATTTACTTGTGAGAAACTTGTGAGAAAGACTGATGGCGTAGACTACGACTTTGAATCGAAAGAGTATGAAGAAAATGATGAAAGCACAGATGAAGAAACAGAAGTAAAAATAAAAGCACACAAGAAAAAAGCTCAACATGAAAACAATATAACCAAGAAAGTTAAGAAGATGAGTAATAGAAAGAAGGAAAAGTTTATCAACTACTCAAACTTGAAGCCGGACGACGGAAAGAGGCCGGAATATCCTAAATGTGAAATAAATATGCCCAAATTTTCATTGACATTTAGGGACATCGAAGATTCGATCAAATCATCTGATAGTAACAGTGGATATCCGATCGAGAAATGAATCATCAAATTTGAAGAAACTGCGACGCTGATTGGATGAAATGAATTGCAAATGATCATCTTGGCGAAAAGATCATTGAGTGGTCTTGCAAAACGGTTCATCCAGAGGAATCAAATGAAGAAATCTCTCCGGAACAAATTCGACATTAAGAAATGTAATGCGAACATTCATAAGATGCTGTTCTCAAGAGAAGAAAGAAGCGAGGCGAATCACTCCAAGAATATTTCTTGATTATGAGGGAAATCGCCAGTCGGGGAGATATCGATGATGAATCACTGATGCAATTTCTTGACAGCTGGCATTGATGGCGAATCAGGAAAGTTCCTCCTTTACGATGCTTGAGCCTGGAAACTTACAAAGAAAAAATGCGCCATTATGAAAATGTTTTGGCGAGGACAGTTCACAAGAAAGCTGATAAAATTCAAACGGCAAGAACGCACGGACAATCAAAAATGCACAAAATCAGTTAGGCAAAATTCAAATACAAAAATAAAGAGAAAAATGCAAAGAGAAGATGTTTTAATTGTGTCCTTGCAAATCATGTGTCGGGCGAATGGAAGAACAAAGGCTAAGGAAGAAAATGCATAGTAGTGATAGAGACGTTTAGTGAAAGATAAGACAATTTTTTTTCCAATTTTACTTCATGCCACTAAATTTAATCTTGTGCAAGTGATAGTAGTATTGAAAGAACCAGTAGTAAGACAAGGTAGACATTTGTTTAAGAGATAGTCATGTACTGGAAAAAATGTGTTCGGCTACAAAAAGTAATATTATGCCCCTATTGTCTCCAGTATCTCATAGAGTAGGATTTTGAACATTTATTTTTAACTACAGCTGTGGTTTATGGAACAACTCCCCAGCCACTGTAAATAAGTTATTGTCCTTAAAAATGTTGTCAACGGATGTAGATTTAATGAATTTCGCTTGTAAAATACCACACGCGCGACCAAAGGCAAGGTTGAATTTCGGGCGAGGGAGCACGGTAGTGTCGCGGACTGGAATGAAATATAAACCCATGATAGACCGTAGTTTCCTGATCAGTGAGGAATCGTTTTCCAGTAAGCGAGACCGGAAGAGGTGGCTCAGGGCTTCAATTGATGTCACTGTAGTGCCTATGACCGGGAGGTCCTCGGCCGGTGGCAGGATTACTAGGCACTAGCTAGGTAGCTGGGTCGACTTCTGTCGCTGTCAGGAAGACAATTGAAATAGCCGGCTGCTCTGATCGGTAGTTTTCGTGAGCTCTCCGATCAATACCAGGTGAATGCCGGAGCAGTACCCTAACAAACGGACCGCTCGGTATGTTTGTTTCCCCTTCCTTGTCCTATCCTCACCCCTTACACACACTTTCACTTGCATGCACTTCACTACTACATTTGCCGGGAGACCGGATCAGGAGCTTACACCTTTTCTGGCTGGGGCGGTGCCCCTCTGGTGGGAGATACCTGGTTGAGGAAAACCTCGCTAACCGACTGTAGGTCGGCGCCGAATTCCCTATCCAGCGGGGAAGATCATCGCCACCTCTCGAGCAAAACACATGCACTACACTAACGGGCCTAAAGACCTTAGCAGTTGACGCGCCTGGAATCAATCAAAATAATTAATGCAGAGGTTACGTGTGGGCATCACAGCACCACATGCTCACTCGTTGTGAGTAGGGCCTACCGACAAAGATGTATGAGCAACACTGCAATAAGGCTTCCTTCCGGGCATGCCCTTTGTTGCCCATATTGTCTTAACAGACAGACAAACCAGATTTCAAAAACAAATTTATAAAAGTATATCTTGTCATAAATAGGGATAACGCTTGAAATAAATATACCAGTCATGTACTTTGTTCAATGAATATATTACTTTATTTATTTTAAATATTCTCAACTGAGTGAAGAACCAGTTTTTCAGAAACACATTTAGAAAAGTAACTTGTTATAAATTTTAATAATTTTTACCTAATTATAAAATGTTCTTTGTTCAATGACTTTACGCACATTTCTTAAATCTCCTTCACATTCCCAAATATTAGAACATGAAAAAATGACAGTGTTTCAATGTATGGTTAGTTACATGAGATTAAAAAATAAAATTATTTTGAAAACATATTTTTCTACCGATGATTCCTTTGTTAACGTTTCAATGAGGCCATTGCATTGTAACACAATTCAAATTCTGCATACACTTTTCATTGCATTTTAGAAATATTTATATCCTTGTGAACTCTATTCTGCATATTTAATGCATATTTTAAATATTTATTGTGCATATTATACGACATATTTTAGGCATTTTTACTGCACAGAAATCCAGGCTATATTTATAACTGCCTCTGTTGACCCCATCTATTGGGTGAATAGGAAAACTATTTAATCACCAGTACACACTGAGTCATGCTATACTGATGATATTTGGTTCTAAAGGTAAGTAATGAAACAATCTTTCACTTTAATTATAAATAAATTCATAACATTTTTTATTACATTTAATTAAAAAAATATTACCTGTCCCTGTTCATTCCGGTTTGCAGTACTACATTTTTTTTCAAAACTTTATCTAATAATAAGGGTGTTCTTCAAATAATTTGAACAAATATAAAACATGAACAATTTAGAATATGAGAATACAGAACATAATATATTTTTATTTCCAAATTATTTGTTTATTACTTTTCAGTATTTGATTCACGTATATTTAACAATATTTTCTTCAATGATGTATAATCTATATGGTACAACTTTTAAATCATTGTGGTTAATTATTTGAGTGATATGTAATATACATTTCAGGAAAACTCAACTACGCAAAGACATTAATGTGTAGGAAAGAAGATAATTCAAGAATAGAGGATTCACTTTAAAAGTCAAGTCAATAAAATATCTTTTACGTGTAAGTTAATAATGTAATTCCTTCAATACCCACTTTCATAAAAATATTTTCAACAATATTTTTCAAAAAATAAATTTCAAGAATTCAACATATTAACATGCTCAAAATAAAATGCATGTCATTATAATACAATATCAAGTAAAATCTTTTTTACATTACATATTATTTAATGTAAAATATTAATAAAAAATAATTATTTTTATTATTAATTCTTGTAGACAGTTTGGTCCCAGAAATGCACAAGAAAGAAACCTTTTGTTGTTGTTGTTTATTTTTTTGTTTTTGTTTATTTCTTCTTCATATTTTAAAATTCTTCTCCAGATGAGACCTCTTCTGATTCAGTGAACATTTCTAATTTTGTTTTCTTCATTATGCTATTACGTCCAGTACTACTTCTTTGAGCAGTAGAAGGCCTTCTTACTTCCGATGAATTTCCAACCAATGACAAGGAAGGTGATCTCTGAGAAATGATAGAAGGGGAACCAAGGGGAACTTGCATGGTTGATGTAGGCAATTCTGAAGGGGATCGAGCAGTAGAGACTGGTAGGAAATCATTTATTTGTTGAAAATCACTGTTCTCGTTATTATTATCTTCACTTTCATCATCATCATCTTCACCATTTCTATTATTTAAATACTGTACTGGGGCTTCCTCAAATTCTTGTAAAGTATCCATGGAAGAGGCAAAAGGAATTTGTTTTTTAGGTGATGAGGCCCATTCTGTGTCTCTTCTGTTACCGATTCTTCCAAATTCATCGACAGAAAATTCCCTTTGCACATTTCCTTCAGAATGTGAATCTGAACCCTCAACTTCAATCTTATATATTGCACAAATATGATCATAGCCAGATAATATTGTGAATCTGATGTGATGAGCAGACAATTGTCCTTCATACAAAGGTTGTATTTGATGCTCCACATCTGTTGGATCTAATTCTAAAAGAAAGAAACAAATCAATCTGGTTTTTCAAAATATACTTGGGGATATAATATTTTACCATTACATTATATATGATCATCTAGGTTAAACTTGGATTGTATTCTCAAGATAACTGTGTGTTATTATATAGGATACTCTAAAGTACATAGATACAATCCTACATTATATGTGCACTAGAATTTTAAAAATAATAGATGTACCTTTCTCACAAACAACACTGAAGTTACCAGGTTTCTCTGCATCACATTTCTCAACTTGTAGAAGTCGCACTGTAATGAAATTACATTTTGTGAAATTGTTTCTAATTTTTTGATTATTATGAAGGCAACAACACTTATTGTCAATGCAGACTTTTGATACATGAAAAGAACCTGAAAATTGGAATTCCTATAAATGATTGTATTCTTAATTCCCTTACTTCACAGGTCTTAGGAACAGACACATTATTTCTCTCTCAAAAATATTTAATAAGAGCATTATTACCAACACTCTTTTCTTTTTTTTAATTCACAATTTTAAACATGATATTGTTTCCAAATTTGTACACTTGGTTAAAAACATTCCATTTTAAAAGCGGGTCCTGCATTCCAAATATTCAGTATTCTGAATTTATTAGTGATGCACATTAATAGATCTGAAAAGCCTTTGTACAGTATTTCAAATTAAAGTTGCCTTTGTGTACTAAGCAGATTCTTCTCTGTAATAAAATTTGCTTATCTTTTTTTTAATATTTTCTATTGTATTGCACTCACACAACCAAAATTCATCATTTAATTATTTGAGTATTAAAATGTATTTTTTAAATTAATTTTGTGTATATCATACCTACCTTTTTATTTACATTACAATCAATTTCTGGTACCTATATTAAAATCTCTCTTGAAATAATCTTTGTGTTAATTCAAGTAAACCACTGTGTTAATAGATTTTGATTACTGAACAATGGTTTATATGTTATGAACCACATGTTATTTTCAACTTCTTTTATTTCATTGACTTTGTGTTCCTTTCCACCTTCCTTTCGTTCTTGCTGTCACACTGTAATGTAGCTGCACTTAATGAATTGAATGTTTTTTCCCTTACTTTCACACTATATATATATATATATATATATATTTTTTTTTTTTTTCTTGTCTGCTATACTTGTCAACAAGATATGACCAATGAACATAATTCTTTTAATTTAGCAGAGTAATGTAAAAATGCTTTTATAGAATTTTAAAAAAAAATACACTTGTTTAATTTTTTTGTAACAAAGTAATTCACACCAATATTTGTACCTCACGCCAATATTTATAAACTGTTTCAGCCTCCTGTGATTGTTATTTATTTTAACTTTTTGCCATAGTTCATTAGAAGAATTTGATGGGAATTAAATTGCAGAATATTTACTTCCAGATAACAAACTTTTAATGAACAACCCTGATGATATTCCTAAAGGATCAGGGATGAAATTCTGGGTACAAATCATCCTGTTTTTTAACACTTCATTAATTTTGTAACTCAAATCTGAAATCTGATCTATGAGAACAGCTTTATCAAAGAACAGTTACCAAGAGAAGATATCAAAAGTATTTCTAGAAAAGGGAGTGAACTTTTCACTTGTATTGATGCAGATAGTTTCTAAAATAGCCTACTCATTTGTAATTTTTTTTTTTTCTTCATAAAAGTTTTCTGTGTACTACTTTATAAATCCTTCACAAAAGCAGTTTACATTCTTGGTTAATTAAGCCTTTTATTTTCTTAGACAATTACTAAATAGGTTAGTTAATATTCATTTGGTATGAGAGTTATTTTTTTAACCTATTTGTAAGCAATATAATTTATCTCCTCTCTTCAAACCCCTCTTTTAATGTCACTATTACAGCACTATGACACATATGCATTATGTACATTTCTATTTATTTTCTATCCATTGGAAAAATTATTTTAATTTAGTGATTTATTGGAGGAATATGCATTAATCATTAAAGTTCAATGCACAATTAAATACATTGTGAGGAAAGCAGAAAAGGTATTAACATGTTATTTAATATGAATAGAACTGGACCATTTTAAGATCCAATTGGTGGTAGAAAAAAATATACTTTTGCCCAGCCCCCATCTAACAAGCATTTCACAAGTATTTGCTAGAATTCATAAGTAATAATCACTATATAGTTGAAATTAAATTTCAACTACTGAATATGATATTATTTCATAATGCTCAATAAAACTTAAATTATAAATTTTATTTTGTAATGTACACAATTTTTTCTCTGAAACTAATTATCTTATGACATTTAATTAACAATTTTATTACCACTACATATTAAAATGAACATCTGTTGGTTCAAAATATTTTAGGTAACACCAATTGCAACAAGAAGCACATTCTTAATGCTAAAATAAAGTTGAAGAGGAAAAGCAAAACAATCAATATGTATTCCCCACAATACTCACCCATATAACATCGCACTTTGATTGAATTGACTGATATTAATTTGGGGAAAGTTAATGTGAACTGCTGGGGATAAAGACCACTGGTAGCCCAGTATGTAGTGCGCTGCCTAAAATACAAAGTTTTTTACAAGCTGAAGAGTTTATTATGATTATTACTTTAATATTAATAATTTCTATATATTTTATATTACATGCATGTTATCCAATTATCATAGTTATATAATATTTCAAGTGCTTAAAAAATAGTGCATTTATGGTGGGTTATATAATTTTTCTTATGTAAATTAATTTTACAGAATCAAACATTTATATAGATATATATCTCATCAAAATAAAACTTATGGCTGTAAAAAATTTACATCTGTGAAGTACACAGATGAAATTTATTTTTATGAGTCCATTAGAGGTGAATATGAGGAACATTCCAACATACCCATCAATCATTTTATTTGGTTCCTCTAACCCTTCATAAGTAGATGTAGCAAATGAAATTGTGGATCCATTTATGTTCAATGCTGAATCGTTACTCAAAGATGACATGGTGTATATTTGTTGAACGATTTACAGGTATGAATAAAAACGTATGCGAATTAGACTTCTTGTAGAACTGAATTATGTGACTGGAACCAGATATCTGCCAAACCAGACATTTCGTTTGCGGAGGATATTGACGTCGCAGAGACAGAATGGGACTTCACTGCGTCATAGATATCAATTCATCATTAGCAATGTGTAGCATAGTATCCTACGAAGGTATCGAAACATATAGCACTGTTCATTGGCTGAAATACATACACACCTGTTGTGTCGGTCAGAAAAATCCGATAGGAATGTGATGCATGATACCCCCTTCCCATTTTATAGGTGATATGAAGAAACGGTAATATATTACCTACTGTCAATTTTTAGACTCCTACAATTTTATTTTAGTCTTTTATTTTTGTATTTTCTGAAAATTTGTTTGCTCTTTAAAATATCTACGTGTCGTTCAAAGCATGACTCTTACCGTACGCATTGGGTCCCACATAAGACGGATCAATGAAGATTCGTGACCTACATCACGCACGGCTTTTGCTATGATGGATATAACATGTATCGTATATAACATTTACATAATGACTTTTGCAACAATAAGGTCGTGGCGTTTGCAAATCTACAGATGCTTCGACCTGCAGTGAGCAAATGTTGTGGCGGCCATGAACTGAGAAATTCTGTGATTTTGCGATAACTACCTACATTTGAACCTCATAAGCTCAAATCAGTGGTTTCCCTCCTTCCATCTTCCAAATGCAGGTCTAAATTTAGCAGTGCTCCAGTAACACAGTTTCTCGCAACATTTGCAACGGCTACGCAATAATATAATAGTGCTTGAAAGAGCAAAATTGTTTCGAACCAGCAAAAACTATTTCCACGCTGCGATTCGAATTCTGGTTCTCAGGTTTGATACACCATCCACGCCACCATTTCACCTCCTCTAACTTCAATACTGTAGTTGTCAGGAAAAGTCGACAAATTTGTAAAATAGTTTGCCGCAAATATGACCAACACCACTTTCCCCCCGTCCTTTCCTACGTATGAGGAAAAAATTAAAGAAAACTAGAAGCTACAAAAGCACATACTTTCTTTCATTCTTTAACTGCTCCGCTATATTATACTACTATATAAGCCTGCAAGTGTTTTAACCACTAAAATTTTATTTTTCCGCTCCGAGACCCTAGATTCTCAATTTTAATCCAAAATCTCAACTCAGATTCTCAATTTTAATTTGCCGATTCTCATACCACTATACCACAGAAGTGCCTTATGGTCGAACTCGGGCAGAGGCACAAAAAGTAAATGTCTGCTTAATGTACAAAACCTTCAAAACTCAAAATATACGATTGATACTCCCATAGTCTCCGGTTCAGATTGATCAGGGAATATCAATAGTTTAAGGAGCTAGTGTTGTGCGCAGATGGTCAGAGAGACCGACGGGCTTTTTTTTGGGGGGGGGGGACGTTTTTGGTATCAGGGGGCCCCCAAACACGCATTTCTGTTGAAATCCGGAAATAGGTTTTCCGCAGCATTACATAACCTTCTCTATACTTTGTATATTTCTCCGTATATGCGTGTGTATACGAGAAATTTAAACCAATGTTGTGATGCGGAAAATAGTGAAAGCGTTATCGGTCGAAACCCAGTCGGGGGTAAAGAGAACCACTTCCTCGCTTTGCCTGCCATATGCCTCCGGCCCCCTCCAGCCTCCCAGAACAGGTCCCGACGCGTTATCGGCAGCGAGGGTGTCGGCGCGGCATGGAGGAGGGGGACATTCAGTTTTGTCAAATTTCACTTCACGACGCGACTATTCATCCGATTTGGACGATTGGCACGGCGTTGGAATCACGAAGCACTTCGCCATCGCGATATGTGTTCACATTTTCTAATTTCTTCCCGGAACTGTTCCAAAACTCATTTTTCATTTTTTCACAGGGGCTTTATAGTGTAAATTCTATATTACATACGAATCAAATGCCGTTTACTGATTGAACTTCAAACGATTTGTTTAGAAGTAATCGGTAATGTAAATTCCCCTATGACAGTGGCGCGATCTATTGAATTTTCATGTAGGTATTTTTCGGTTACATTTAGCCTTAACAGTGGTTCACGGGAAACAGTGTAGTCACTCTCCAAAGGCACGCAGGCTACTGCAGAGGGTCGCGCTGTTTGTGAGGGATCCGGCCACCACGTCCAACCAGTCCGTCTCCCCTCCGTGGGTTTGTGTGGCCCACAGAAAATCAGTCCTACTACTTTTTGATCGCACATTGTATATTCTGACAGTGTAGACTTTCATTTGGTAAAAGATTTGTACTCGATCCCTAACAAATAAATTACGTCTTAGAGTTTAACGTACTGGAGATAGGCTCGATCCAATGACATCGGACACTCACGAGTCTACTATACAAAATAATGTAATATATAAAATTAATGTTTATTTGTTTGTAGTTTTGCGCTGCCGTACCATTTACCCGATTGCGATTAAACTATGACAACTAATCGCTTGCACTTGAGCAATAATTTAGGTATTGTCCAATGGAAATGTGTGAATGTCTGCCGCACATAGACGCGTGTTGATGATTTTATGCTTTAATGCTGACTCAAGCCCCCCTGAACGGAAGCTCTAGCAACCCACCGCACCAAGTATTACGCGCGTATTTGCTGCATATTCTGCCCCTGCGATTGTGAAATATCGGCAAGAATTATTATTTGAACGTTATCGCGGACAAGTAAATCAAATTTCACCATGACAATGTTATAGCGAATGCATGCCCAAACTTTTCGGAGAACGTTTTAACAATATGTTTGACAACTATGTCCAAACCAGGACATAAAACAATACTCGTGAGAAAGTAATCTCTTAAAAGTTTTGCAGAACGTGGCGTAAAAACGTGATTAACAATCACATGACCAGTAGCATGTAAAGTGTAATACATTACAATAGAGAAGGGGTGTCGGTTCCACTAGTATTTGATAATAAGTAAAATGTTCATGTTGTTTGCGCAATATGCAAATATAGTTTGTTGATACATATTGAACAAAAATAAAACTATTTCCGTACATTGAACATATAACGTTATTATAAGAGAGATAACTAAAATAGGGTCTTGTAAGTAATATCAAGAACCTTCCAAACCTGTAAAAGGGTTAATTCGACAACAAAACATTATCGGAACTTTTTTGTAGAAACTTTTGTATATTTTAATTTCGTATAATTTTCGGTAAGATTGATAGTAATATATATATATATATATATATATATATATATATATATATATATATATATATATATATAAACGTATAAAACACCCTTAAACGTCTCCCAGCCACATTTCAGAATTTTTAGTATGGTTTGCAGTAGGTACAAACGCACCATATTTCATACCAAATTTCAAAACTCCGGGATTTATTTCACACGATCACCTTATTTTTGGTCTAATTTGACTGAGCTAGTGTACGACATAACAGAGCACTTCTAGAAATGAAATGTGTGCAGCCTCCGATATGTTCGTGACGTCAGTTGTTGCGTTGATATTGTCTATGGATGATGGTAAATACCCTCAGGAAAATCCTCAATTATCGTTCACAAGAATCGACAGACCGCTTCATTTCTAATTTGTAAAGGAAACTACATCTAATTTTACGGAAGAATCCGTTCGAGTCACTAAAGAAATTAAAGAATTATCACTCACAAGAATGGAAGTATTAATGATGTATTTGTTAAGATATACTTTCCCAGACACATAGTAGGCGGTAAGGTATGCAACGCATTACTAACTGAAAATGCATGTCCGCAACAGTGATTCTTTTGTTGCGTTAAACCAAAGAATATGAATGAGTTGATAGTGATGAAAGTAAGTTGCTAAGATTAGACATTTAAATTTGGATTGTCATTTTAATGTCAAAATTAGATTTCTTTTGAATGTTTTGTATAAGTTACCACTTCGAAAGTGGATAATTCGAGGCAGTAAAAAAGTTGGCAGATCCTCGAAAGAAGGGTAGATTTAGATTTAGTCAAAAAAAGCAGTAAAAACTGTATGTGACGTACGGGGGAGAAGATTATCTGCGCACGTTTTCTTGAGTTCCAGAATCTCTTCCCGTGATTTTAACTATAAATAGTTGAAAGATGAGTAAAAGTTTAACATAAATAAATAAAAATAAATTTTTAAAATCGCAAAATAGCAATATTTGAAAAAATAGACATTTTCGTATCCGAGTTATTGAAAACTTATTTGCATTGATAAACGAATAGCAAGTATGCTTTTTTTGGCATTGCTAACAAAATAGTAACTCTTATCTCTACTCTTACCATTACAAGAAAAAGGAGAGTTCAACAAAATGTGCGCATAGTGAAGCTACAATTTACGTCCAGAAGCAAAACAAGGGGCCATCTCAGCCTTTGCTCAATGGATCAGGGAAACTGCACAAAAAACTGAACGAGATGAAGGTCATTGCGCCGGAAGCTGAAGTACATTATTTGTTACGAATATATTAGGTGTTTTTAAACGCTTTATACAATACAAATGTGAACTGATTCATTATATATCACTGTTTTGTTAAAATAAACTTTATTTTTCGTATTTGACAATCAGTATAGTTTCTAATTGTATAGAAATTCAAGTATTCAAGAGAGATCTTGGAATTAATTAAATTTAATAGTTGATATCCCTCAACCTGAAAGTGGAACTAATAAGGATGAAAAAACAGTCTGAAAATTGTTTGCTAACCCTGAAAAATCTGCTAATATAGCAGGGGTAATGTCCTGATAAAAATATTTTCTACAATGATCTGTTTGTTCAGTGGTCGACCCCACACTGAAGCCTTTTGCATATACACAAAAGAAACTGCTAATCTGTCACCTCGTACAACTGACACTGTGTGCCTGCAACAGTACAACTTTAATTCATGGACCAGATGTGATTATCAAAATGTTATCTATCGGCGAAGAATCTGAAGGGGCGAGACACAAAGCGCCGGACTTAAACTCAGAACACACAATAACGTCTTTGAGAATAAAAACAAATAATGTGCTATGCACGATTTTGTTTACTCCAGACCCTAATTTCACTTGTAAGAGAATTGTTGCGAAAAAATGTTGCATATCTTCCCGAAGAAGCGATAGCATTATTAAATGCGCCACTTATCGGAAGAGAGAGTGGCGCATGATTACACGATAGGGAGAGTCAATGTGATTCTGAAGAGACTTTGTAAATACAGAAAATAAATTGTTATTTATTTACTGTAATTAAAATTATTTTTCAATTATTTGAAAACCATGGATGCACCTTGTCGACTTCCTTCCCTGTGTATATTTTCCAGTATGTCAGCTCTGTTGCGAATACTTGAAAATGATAATCATGAATTTTTTAAGAGATCATGATTACCCTTTTCAAATTCTTGAAAACATTGGGGAGGGCGATTTGGTCTGTCGATGCACACGAATTTTCGCCTCACCTTTGAATTTTAATACCGCACAGCAATGAGTCAGAAAATTACATTCTTCGGTAGGGCTGTCTGGATTAATTGTTTACTCATCAGTGTGATTGAGGATCCTTTACAAACCGTAGTATTCACTTTACTAATTTTTAAAAACCGTATATATTTCTATCACACATACACCATTCGTTGCACATTATGATTCGCAAGTTTCGATCAATTACACGAATAACATCTGTAAGGGTGTGAACATATCTCAAAAAACCATTTAGCAATTTTTTACGCCCAATGATAATAGTTATTAGGTACAGTTATTTTGTGGGCTCGTGCAATCGGGGTGAGGCATCGCATCGGGCCTTCGAATGTGCACTCTCATCTTCCACCCATAAAGGTAGAGGTTCCTGTTCTAAAATATATTTAGCCATGTTCCATTAAGGATATTCGCTATTATTACGGCAATTGCATGTGGGAAAATTTTAAATAAATAAATAACAATATGCTGGGAGGACTAGAGTGAAGGGGTTATTTAAAGCTAGTCTGTATGTTTACGCACTTGGAAGACAAATGAGCGACGTGTGCGACAGAGAATGAATTTATGACCAACCTGTATAGTTTATACTTTCAAAGTACACTTGTTCTGCGCTGTTGTCAATGTTACATTACGTAATTATGAACGAACATTTTACGAATTCCATTTTTAGGGCCTAGCGGTAGGAATCTTGGAGACATTTGAGGAGAATTATTTTTTGATTAGGTAAATGGTTAAGTCAAATTAGAATTAAAACTCCTGAATTCATGACAAAATTAGAGACCTACTGCGCCTGAGAACTTAAGCTTCGCCACAGAAGCCTCCTCAATCCATTATCATTTGACCGGCGCATTCAGTTCGGAGCTATGTTGATAACACTGAAGAGTAAACGAATTTTCGTGCGGATTTGTTGTCCGCATAGGTAACTTCACGGTAAATGATAATGGTGCAGCCTTAACACTACAAATGACTTTTAGAATCTGCTCAACCAGACCGCTAGTATGCCTACGCAAACTAATGGGCTTTGACTCTACCTAAGAATGAACCTGATGAAAACAAATGCACCTAGTATAAATTACCCTCTCAGTGGTGTCTTAAGTTTGCAGTTGTGTATGTAAGTTTCTCTTCCGGGGAATTGATTATTTCGTATTTCCTGGCGCCACAACTATGGTAACTAGTCCGTAAGTGTACACTATGTGATCAATAGTATCCGGACACTTGGCTGAAAATGACTTACCAGTTTGTAGCGCCCTCCGTCGGTAATGCTGGAATTTAATAGGGTGTTGGCCCACCGTTAGCATTGATGACAACTTCCACTCTTGCAAGCATACTTTCAATCAGGTGCTAGAAAGTTCCTTGCGGAAAGGCAGCCCATTCTTAACGGAGTGCTGCACTGAGGAGAGGAAACGATGTAGCTTGGTGAGGCCAGGCACGAAGTCATCGTGCCAAAACATCCCAAAGGTGTTCGATACAATTCAAGTCAGGACTCTGTGCAGGCCAGTCCATTACAGGGATGTTATTGTCGTGCAAACACTCCGCCATAGACCGTGCAGTATGAAAAGATGTTCGATAGTGTTGACAGATGCAATCGCCATCCTCGAATTGCACTTCAACAGTGGGAAGCAAGGTGTTTAAAATATCTACGTAGGGCTTGTGCCGTGATAGTGCTACACAAAGCAAGGGGTGCAAGCCCCCTCCATGAAAAACACGACCACATCATAACAAGTTACACATAATTTTTAACTTTTTTGACGTAAATAAATAAACACCATTTTTAACGTGCCCAGATACTTAAGATCACAGAGTGTATGTGTTTTTATCACTGGAGGTGACACTGTCCTTCCTTCGCTGGTTGGAGAGATCCGGCGCCCAACAACACGTTTTGCGAGTCGTCGGTTTTCCCTAAACAGGTATCTCCCACCAACGGGACTAGCTCCAGACATTTGTGGTAGTGTAGTGCGTATAAGGGGTAACGATAGGACAAGAGAAGGGGAACGATCGCACGCGGTCCATTTGTTGGGGTACTGCTCCAGTATTCGCCTGGTATTGATCGGTGAAAGCAAGAAAAATTCCCTTCGGGATATGGTTCTTATAGAAACCATGTTTTTTTCATGTTAATGTGAAAGTTTGCTAACACAAGGTGCTCAGAGGGAGTGAAACGATTGTATAATCCTGAATTCGTCCACTACGATTCACATACGCCGACTCAGTCACAGAGGCAAAGGCGTAGAGTATTAGCGAGAGAAGAAAGCTTCCTATATTGGTCGTCCAGTGCTGAGACGATTTTGCTCTATTGGCAGTTCACTCGGTAAAAAATCGCAGTGTTTGCCAGGCTTCGTGGATAGATCAGTTGGTTCTATTCGTTTACTGCAAGATCGGCATATCGCAGTCCGGGCTGGTGGAACCGCAGACAATTTTGATTGCGGTAACACGTGTGACGTGGAAATAGGGGCCTGGAGAAATCGGTCCCTGGGAAAGTGACCATGTGCCAACCACTGAAAACTTAAGTTTCTTTGTTTAGATCTGGATCATATGAGACTGGTTTGCAGACCAGCTATTCCTCTACGGTGATTCTAGCTGCGCCACCTAAGAATGCTCTCCAACCGTTGCGTTTCCCTATTAGTGGTAAGCTGTGGAATAGCTTCTAAGTGATGAACTCCAATATCCGAGGAATTATTGGAAGATTGACCTCTCCTCTGAGAGAATAAAATCGATCTTCGAGTGTTTCATTGTCATTAGAGATTATAATGAGCACATTCCACTCTTTCGGTCACTTTTTGTGCAATTCCATTTACTCTTATACGTTTCTCGTTAAGTTGATATTGAGTGCGTGGGAGTTCCTTTCTAACTAAATCACATACCCCACTCTTTCGGCAGCGGACTTTGTGAATCACATGGACCACAAGAGCTGCTGTCGAGGAGCGATAAGCAGCGCCCGAAGCGGTGTCGCAGCGGATTGTTTCTGCATATTGCTATAAAAGTATATTAATATAATTAACCCTTATTCGGGCAACCGGGGTCCATTGGACCGAGAAGGAAAATTTTTAGTATTTTACGTGAAAACTACACAAGGTGTTAGGATGATTTTTGTGACTGCTAGTGTTTTTTAAATGTATCCGCAATTATTTTATGAAAACGTTACTGAATAATTTTTTTTAATTCTATTTTTTCAGTCCCAACTGGGCAAACGGGGTCCATTGGACCCAGGTCTCTTAATCATCGTATAATATTACATTTTATGGTTTTGTTGTATCGATTGACTACTTCGAGCCCAAGGGGTGGACGGATGTCGGGTTGAGCAATATCTTTTAATCGGGAAGTTATCTGACACTACGTTTGAGAGATTCTAAGATCGACGCTTCCGTAGACAGTTGCTGCAGGTTAGTGTGTAGTCGAGTGAGGTTTTGAACTCACGTGCAGTTCAGGTTTTGGGGGAAATCTGTACAGCGATAAGAATGTTGCTAACCCTGACTAAATGTTCGAAAACAAGAGATCATATTCAGTTTTATTGTTGATATTACAAAGAATTTGATTCGTACACAAAATGTAAGGAGACAAACAGGATTTAATAACAAGTTTCGCCTGTCAATCACACACGTTTTCGGGGAAGCAGCTTCCTTAACTCAGAAAATGTATAACAATGCCAAAAAAGATGTTATTTGTGCACTTGGAAAATAAATAGTAAACAAAGAGCTGTAGTATCTGTTCAAAACCTGTCTGTAATGAGCATAAGCAGTGCAACAAGGTGTGTGTTCAATAAATACGATAAAAACTTAATAAACAAATGTAAAGTATTTTAAAAGGTTTTGTTATATTAAACAATTATATTAGATCGTAGTTTCAGTATCCACGTCCAAACAGTACATCTGTAGGCATAATTCCGCCTGCCCGGCGGCGTCATTAAAATCGGTTGCCCGAAATGGGGTTAATGTAGTTTGGTTACAAATTTCATCATTGATTTATGTTGATGATACAATAATCATGTGTAAGTTAGCCAAAAACTTCCCTATAAGATTAATGCAAATCTGGTCGCTCAACGCGGTCGCCCCAGCCAGGTACTCGAAAGTTCCCACTGTTTGCTATCCAGAGGCCGCGGCTTCTGGGCCGCACCCAACCCTTCTTACGGCGTCGCCCACCTGGCTGGCGCGCGTTTCCACACGCTAGGCCTTTATTTCGTCATTATGTGCACCGACGTTCTGTCCTCGAAAGTGCATTTCCAACTAATATCGGAGGATAAGGATTGACAAATTGAGAGTATGACACTTTAACAGGATTTAATGAACAATGTTACCACCTCTTCTTACAGTAGCAGTGGATGTAACTTAAAACATGAATTATGCATTTTAAAACATTCATACTCATACAAGCATCAAGCATGCATCTGCAAGTACTTGCACGCACACACAATCGCAACAGCACACGTACAAGCTAACACTAACTTGAAACATATCAATTCTCAACACTTGACCATTCAAGCATACAGAATAAAAATAAACTGGCTAGATTCATATGAATTATTTAAATCTTTAATGCACTTGAAAATGCAGTGTGTGTGTGTGTGTGTGCATATATATATATATATATATATATATATATATATATATATATATATATATATATATATATATATAGACACACACACACATACTTATATATAAAGAACAATGACAAACTACTCTGATGATCTAATTGCAATATAACTAAATACAAGTAAAATGTATAGTAGTACAAGTCTACACAAATTTGCATTTGTGCTTTATTCTAAAAACAGTAGAAAGAAAAAGTTTGTGATTGATTTCTAATGAAAAAAGTATAACATTCACTTTACATATCTATCCCTTGCATCAAGAACACACATTGTAGATACACATGGGAATTCATAATTCTGTTCATTTTAGAAATGTAAAATGCCAACAAATTGCACAATCCCCATTTCAATCAAAAGGAAATCATGAATACATATAATATGGATAAACTACCACTGTCATACAAGAAGTCCTCACTTTACAGTGATGTAATGAGTACAATAATTACTTTGTGCTTGCTGAGTGCAATTCATCTCACTTGAGTAATATTATTAAAAGAGTAAAACAGATATATTCACAAAGATACAATAATCATAATATCTGGCCATACTGCATTAATTAAATGAACCACAATGCACCAAGTATTGTTACAGATGTCCAATAGAAGACAAGAAAGGAAACATTTGTCAGTGCAAGAGTCTTCTTACAGATTTAACAAACTTGAAAAGTATCTCAGGAAATGTCATGGTTATTTGACAATAAAAACTATTGAAATTAGAAGGCAATCACCATGTTAAATTCTTGAGCATTGATTGAGTATAAACCTGAGGACCTCATGTGTGTTAGTGAGAAAAACTAACAATAAAAGAAATAACAAAAAATAAAACAATATTTAGGACAGTGTAGAAAAAATATTGGCACACAACTCAGTTCTTAAAGCAATTTTGCCTACAATTAAAATATGCAAAATTGAAAATCCTTCATAATGAAAAATTGGATATTTATCCAATTGTAATCGAAAAGAAAATAACATCAACAATCTTAAGTACAATTGAAGTTGATTTCAACTTTGGGATATATATACACAAAATGCATTTCATACAAATTGTTACAAATGTAATAAACAAAGAAACAGTATCAGTAAAAATGTATGATAGAAACTTATAAAAACATTTCTTCAATCACTAGAATACCACAGTGGGGTAACAATCTCTCAAATGGTAATACTTGTGGCACCATGTATTTAAATTACATTTACTTCTAATGTTAGCAATGGCCATGCAAGCAGATCTTACAAAACACACTACTGAAGGCAGTCTTTAACAATCTATAAAACACACCTGGTGCACTGCAATACAGCTTTCCAGTGACAGCACAACCATATTTACATTCAGAACTTAGTATTTTTAAACAGTGTCATCCAGGTGTCGCACACAATCATAACACACGTTATTGAAAGAAGAGTGAACAGTTTGCCATATGAGGGTAACCCGAAACTGCATGGTAAGCTACCACAATATTTCTTTCAATCAACTATGAAGAAAAATTATAAATTTCTCACAACATGAATAAAACATTTTTTCCATATCCCAACTGTATTAAGTTTAGAAACTGCACAACTATGGAAGTTACTCTTCTCACAGCTCCAGACATTTTCAGTCATTTTTATGTTACGTTTTGCATCTACAAAATCATGCAAGTAACATACACACGTGAAGTATATATTTAAACATTAACTTTTTAAAGACAAAATTTCTCCACAAGCAAATTCTGAGTCTTATTCAAATCATCAATAGAATTTGTGATATGAATGGGTTATGTAACCATACAATTACACAGTAACATATAAATTTCTATCTATTGTATAGCACTTCAATACGACAGGCAAAACACAATTTTTTCTTCATTTTTTTCACAATATTAGAGTATGTTATTGTTTTTACTTTATTCCTCACATATTTGTCTAAAATTTTAACACATGTCAACCTTATAAAGTGAAGAGTATTCTAGAAGATCATGACTCATTATTTCAATATAAACTGTTTGAAAATACAAAACAATTACGGATTTCAAAATAAGAATGTTTTCTGAGGCATGTGGTACACATTATGAAAAAGCATTGAAAAATAATATAATGTTCTTGTTTCGATACATACTGCCTGTAAATTTACAAGCTTGTTGTAGCAAAAAAATAAAAAAAATACAAAAAAAGAAAAATAAAGAGAAAGGGAGACAAAGTAATTACACAAAAATGTGGAATTGAAAATCCCAACAACCTGCTGGGTATGACAAACTTGATGTCTAATGGAAAATAAGTCTGATTCAAAGTTACGATGTTAAATTTTAAGACTATCATCATTCATTCATAAATTTGGCACACATATTAGAAATGTTGCCACAACATGCTTGATCTAGTTTTGAAATGATTCAATGACTTAAGCTACATTTTCTTTAGCTTCAGCACTTCTGATCAGTTAGGTCTTCCTCGCGTTCGTTTAACAAGCAGCGTAGGAGCACATGCAGGTCATCTCGATGTGATAAATGGTGCAGTCAATGTCCTGAACAAGACCAACTCTTAATGTGATAAAGTTTTATTAATATATATAATAAAACAAATATATCATCATATTGGGAACAAGAAAAATGAAGGTTGTGAAAAATGAAGAATATTAATCAATGAACAGGCACAATTTTGACATAAATTAAACAATAGACATCAGTTACACTGAGCCTCTCCATGATCAAATTAAAGGTTTTTCTTACAAGAAAAATTGAGAAAATATTAGGAGAAATGTGCACATTCATTGAAGAGAGTGATAGACATGCAGCACAGAGACAGACAGAAAGGAACCAAAAACAACAACAACCCACACCTGAGATACATGACCCAGGCAGACCCAGATTACAGCAATGAATACACAAACACTAAAGAGGAGGAAAGATCACTAGTGAAGTCAGAGGGAAATGTGGTACAATCAAGAATGTGATTGTAAACAAAAAATTTAAAGAAGATTAAATTCTCTTGATCTCTTTTTTATGTATTTGGTGGTACAGTTCTTAAGATCAATTAAGATTCAATAAACCAAGCACATAAAAAAATATATTTTGGCCCTTTGCGACTCCATATGGTCATTAGATGTGCAACAACACATGGCATGTTTATCTTGGTGCACATCTATGCTATCTTTGGTACACAAATATGCGATAGCTGCATGGCATGGAGGGAATATGCAGGAGAGATAATAGTGAAGATGATAATGGATCGACAAAAGAATTGAAGTGAAATTGCAAAAAAGATTCTGATGAATAAAGGGTCAAACATTTTTTTGTGTGTTTCGATTCACTGGATTTAACCTAATCCAAAGAACCATCTCACAAAAAAGTATACTGCAAAACTACTATACAGCTCATATTTTTTCATATTTGTAATGGTTACTAAAAATTATAATAATTATATTGCAACTTGTATTCAAACATTTCACACATTCCATGCACAACACCTTTTACTTCATTACAGACAGCACACTGTCTCCACTTCCTCACATCTTCAAAGACTCACATTGTTTAGAAAATTGATCATATTGCTAGATATTTGGCCAGCAAGGTTTGTGAATGTCAACTCTAAACAATCTGAATGATGTTCAACAGAAACCGTTACCATGATAACAACACTCCAAGGCCGTTTCAGCTTTCAGTGCTGCAAGAGATCATTACTGTCAAAACCGGAGAGAAATATTGGTTGGGGGTTTGACCACCCAAACAATATCTAGAACTCAGTGGAGTAGAAACTGACTTGTAAGCAAACTGCATCCAAACAAGGGGAAAATGCGCTTTTTAAAATGTCATTACAGTCACAAATTTTGCTCAATTTCAATTGCATTATTACTTTCTCATATAATTAGAATATAATTTAATGCTGCAAAAAAATCTAGAAATTTTAACACAAATGCGCATTTTGGGAGACCTTGACAGTTCTTTTTCCAAAATGGTTGTTTCTGATAAACTATTTGTCCGCATCTGGCCATCTGTAAATCATACACAGAATATTTTCTGAGACAGATAATCTCTGAAGCCCCAATTGAAGGGCTACTTTGTGTGAAACTTGTACATTTTCAAAATATTTTTTAAAATTTCTTATTCAAATAAGAGCAAAGTGCGCCTATAAATATGATGAAAGTCTGATTTTTATTAAACCCTCTGAATTTCACAAAATAGCAAAAAGTTCACCTTTTTCCAAACTTCTCCTACATTTTCACTACAGAAGATAAATATTTCATCAGGGCGGTGTGTTAATGTTGGGACATCAAATCTAGTAAATTATTAGTTTGTCAAGTATTGGATTGATTTTCCAGAAATAACTAAACAAGATTTTCTCAAAATTGCTTCAAAATTTTTCTTTTAACTTTGGAATGGATATAACATTACGCAATGAATTTTATGACAAGTGTAATTTTCATTTTAACTTTTGAAATCTCTGTAGTCCGTATTTATTAAATTTTTGGCGTAAACATTTCTAATTTTATTCATTTAAATTTAATGCTCTAATGAGATTATAAATATGGTAAAAGGTCTGGTTTTCATTAAAACCTCTGAATTATGGAAAATTGCAAAAGTTTTATTTAACAGACTTTTAATAACTTTCATGTAATTCAAAATCAAATTTCCAAACAAAAGATTTTCTTAAAACCAGCTCCACATTTATTCTTTAAACTTTCGAATGGATAGAGAATAATACACTGTTCCACAAGGGCTATTTTCATTAAAACCTTTGAATTTTCAAAACTACATACATGTTCTTTCTTCTCTCACTAAGCCCAAGATTTGAACATATTCACAAGTGTACAAAATCAGTGATTTTAGAATCAATTGCTTAAGAAACATTGAAGAATATCTTTACTAAAGATTTCAGAATGATTCATGTGTAGTAATTTTCCATTAGAGAGATATGTGCAATTTACCGAAATTCTGAAAATTAGTTTGTGGGCAAAAATTAAAATATTCAAAATTCTAGCATCACCCATATTTTCCCTATTTTACAATAGCAATTGTCCAACTACTCTGTCTACATATTCAGAGGGGAACATGAAGTTGTTTCCATAGAGTAGAGACTGTAGAGAGGGGGAGGGACCCTCCTAAATTCATTGACTTTTCTACATCATGACCTATCATTTTGAAAGTGTGCACACTTTTTCTTAAAAATCATTCTGAATACCTGACTCTGTGAAGGTTGAAAATCATTAGCTAAAGACAGGAAAATTTCTTTGAAAACAAAATCAAAATTTCAATAATTTTTTCTTTCTTGCCACAAGTAGTGCTTGAATTTATACATAGTAAAAATGTTTGAAGTATGCTATATAACATGCAGTAAAAATCTTTACAAACGTCACAAAATGTGCAGTTTAAAATTTACAGAACAACAATTTTTTACTAACAATATTGATCCTGATCACCATTATGTCTGTATTACATAACAGTAATATTATCTAAAAATCTGCCAAAAGGATGTTATGCAACCAGTTTTATAATTGTTTCTTTTTATTATTATTATTATTATTATTATTATTATTATTATTATTATTATTATTATTATTATTATTTTATTTTTTTTACACAAAGACTAAATCAATAATTCTGTTAACTGTACATTAAATGATATTTTATCATACTGCAGACATAAATGTAAGCAACTTAAGGTAATTTTTGAGATCTCATTATTTTGGGAAACATTGCAGTGAAAATATTTACAATCATATTTGTAAAACATTGAGAATAAGATAAGAACAACAAAAAATTAAAATTTATTAACATTTAAGTACTGCGATACTGGTACATTTGTTGGTAATTATTGAATTACCATTAGATAATCAAGAAGATTGTACAATGAAATAACAATTTGACTTCTTACATCATGTACCCAAAGTACTCATGACAACGCACATCATCTTTCGTTAATTTTTCCCGTGAGATGGTGACCAAGTAACTAAAAAAAGCATGCAGTGATTAATTATTGGAAATGCCCACTGAAATAATTTTTGAGGTAACTCGTGCATTACGTTTGCATCAGTTTTCAATAAGAGATATTCAACATATGATGGAAACCTTATTCATTATACTTTTTATTTTTTATACCAACAATGCAGTCTCATAAAATTTCATATATCTTGTCCTTACAAAATTATACAGCACTGCAGAAAGTAAACTAAAAACTTCAGAAAGTTAACTAAATAATATAGGAGAATAATTTTGAAGCTCCTTAAATATTTTCAATCCCAATACTGAAAGAAAAATCCAAATTCATCTGCAAAGATAGTGCAATTTTGTTGTTGTATTGTTACAATTGTTTTTACTATTCAATGTTCAAAGAGTGCAAGGGATTTAACAAAGAAGTGTACAAAAATATAATTTTATTTCAGCAAACTGTGTGCAACAGAATGCTGTTTAATTTTATAAATTACAGTATATCCCCAACATCAACAAAGTATAGCTTTATTCTACGCTCAAATGCATGACAAAACCATGAATACCACTCTCGTAAGTTATAAAAATGATTTTCAACCAAATAACAGAAGAAATAACACGTTCCAAGTCATAAATCAACTAAAGAAATTGTATGCAGTCAAAATAAAAAATATGCTGATAATACTTGTGAGAATGTTACAATGATTTACTGTAATTTAGAAGCACATTACAATTCAAATTCTTATATTTCTCAGAACATGTTTTCATATGAATTTGGAGTTAACTACATGCATAACATGAATATGGATCAACTGATGCATTATTCAAAATGTAATACATAATTGAATTGGCGGAGGAGCCCAATCTGTTAAGAAAACAAGTGTATGAGCAATTTTATTACATTTAATTATAAATCATTGTTTATGGGAGTAATTTAAAAAAATGTACATTTGGAACTGTATTTGTTCCCTCAGACATTAATTTTGGTACTACTGGAGTGGACAACAAATAAATTGCAATAAAAAGAAAAGGAGATATCATGCTTCTGGATAAAAGGCGGACACTCAGAGGTCTAGAATCTGCCACGGTAGATGATATAGTCACAGATATCTCATCACTACTTTTAATAATTTGATAGTCTTGATTTTGATCATGTTTATTCTACATGGAATGTAACTATAACTAGGTTTCTCATATGTATATCATTGAAGCAAATGTTTTCAAATATTTCTTAGTAGAATGTGAGGGTATGGAGTTGACATTTTAGTCTACATCCAATGAAAGGTTACACTGCAAGATAAGACAATTAAAAAAAAAAAAAAATTAATTTAACAAAATTGTGCAATAAATAGAATATTAAAATACAAAAAATAAAAATAAAATCAAAAGAGAGAGAGAGAGAGAGAGAGAGAGAAATACTATAAAGAGAGACTAAGGGAAATGGAATTTTGACTCCCATAAGCAGGAACTCAGGAAGTGGGAAAATGGTCCATGAATATTGTCTACTATACGCCACGTGTAATAAGTACCTAGTAATATAAGAGGGTTTTGCTGTATGTAATTTCCCTATGAAGCACATTTCCTTATTTTTAACCTCCCTTTTTTTCTTGTTCGGTCGCAATTTCTTTTTGGGCTCTGGGCCTAGTCCACCCCCTCCCCCTTAGGGTTGGCCAGGTAAAATGTATATTACTTCATTCTGTCATTAAATTAAAGAGCTTGAGGAAATAAGTTTGTGTCAATAACAAGACAATGTGGAGGATATAAAGTTCTGCTTGAGAATTGAATCTAAAATATATTTAAATTTTACTGGGGTTCATTTGGTTTTCTATTGATCTTATCTACCAGAAAACTAGAAATCTCCAACAATTTTATGCATAAGATATCCCTTAACAGAAGTATCAAAATCTTTTAGTATTTTCTCTATTTTTCAAAATTTATTAATTTTCTGTCTGAACATAATTCTAAATACTATACCAAAATAATTTGTTTTGTCTGATAGTTTTGTTTTCCTACCCAAAATATTATCAGAACTTAAAGATATATGTGAATACCAATAACTACTCTGGAGCAGCTGCTATTTAGATGCTTGATTATAGTCATTTGAATTTAAATTTTCCTAGATAATTAATTGGAAGACATCATGATCCTATAACTTCAATCCAAGTAAGTGCGACTTATATACCTCCAATATTGGAGAGATATTAATCAAAAATAAATATTCATCTGTTATTTCACTCAGTCAAATGAATACGTAAGAACATTATACATTAATTGTTACGATAATTTTTAAAGGGGCAATGAGCTACACAATGCTATAAGGAACTTACATAGTTGGAAAAGAAACAATGTAGACATTACAACAATACAAAGTAAGGTAGGTTTTATTATTATTATTATTATTATTATTATTATTATTATTATTATTATAAAGTGCAATGTTTAAAATTTTGAAGAAAAACAATAATTTTTTTTAAAAGGTTACCATATGAAAATATGTTCAGACTTCTTTTAGTTAAAAAATTATTTCTCATAAAATGAACCTCTAATAAAAAAAAACATTCATTATAATTTCATGTAGTGAAAATTCATAATAATGTTTAAACTATCTTGGCCACCAGAAACTTTTTGCACATTATATTGATATATTAATCCCATAGATTGGAAGCACAATGATGAAAGCTAATTGCTTCAGAGCATGATGTATTTTCACTAAATTACATAATACACAATGACTGAGTGAATCTCAGCACTAAGCAGTAAGAAGTTTTAAAAGCATGCAGTCTTCAGTACTTATCTCAAGAATTTAAATATATAATTTAGTATAAAACATTTTCAACACAATTTCAACAAATTATTGGCTCAAAAAGTGAAAAAACACAAGGATAATGAAATGGTAATTAAAATAATGTCAAATGGATATATTTTACTTAAAAACGAATATCTATATACACATCCTATCATGTGAACTTCACATCTTCCTCGAGAAAGAAGTTATCACATAGATATTACTATTTCAAATAATACATTAACATGAAACACGTTGACATATATTTCATCAAACACACATAGGACCAGTGGGAATGGATCTTGACAATATCATATTCATTACAATGAAAATATCAGCAACTGGAAATTCTAATAACCACAATGCTGTTGGGCATGTACAAAACAGCTGAAAATGCTATAACACTTTCATACAGCATGTATTCTAACACTGCGAATCCTGACTAGTTACAAACAGGACGTTGCTGCATCACAGTTATTAACACATACATATTTATGGCTCCATATCAATCATATGCAGATAGTGCAACAAAATCAATTACAAATTAAATGTCAAAATATTACATAAAAACAAAATTTGAAAAATGAACTTATCAAAGAAAGAAAGAAAAAAAAGAAGAAAAAAAAAAGAAGAAAATTCTGAAACTTTTGAAGCAAAGGACTCACTTCTTACAAGAAACATTAAACACTGTGGAGCCTAGAGAGCCTGTTTTCACTTTACAATAAACCCAACAAATGGAAGAAAAACTATAAAATAACATTATAAATATAAAAACTTCAGAGAATGAAAAAATCATTCCATCAGAAAACTGTCTTTGGTTTCATATGTAGCTTGTTCACATTAGGTACTTGTTTTCCGTATTATACTAGCCTTCTTACTACAATAAAAGGAATTCAACTACAAAGTAGATACCAGTTTTATATTGACAATAAATTGACGAAAAATATGTTATACAACATATGGCAAATGATCTTAGAATTAGAATTACTTTAGGCTCTTGTCTTTTAATTATTATGGCATAATTGAATACAAAGATGAAGAGGCATAATAGCTTTCTTGACATTGGTCAGGACTGTTTCATGATGCCTGTCAAATTGAAACAAGCACATTTGTGGGACAATACATTCTGTACCTACTTACATAAATAATATTACATCCATTATTGAGAAGTGCACTTGAAATATAGCTTTCAAGTAGAAATATTTAATTTATTATTTTTTTAAATCTTTTTTCAATGCCTTCTTGATTGTTATAATCTCAAAAATCATTTAACATTCCTTACATAATCTTTATAGCATTATATGACATCTCTCATTCTTTTTTCATGTTTTTAATATTCAACTATCATAAAAAACACACACACACACATACTCGCAACAAAAATATGAAAGAAAAAGAAGAAAAAAACAGGCATTTTTCAAGAATTAAGTTATTATGACTATTTCTTCTTTTACTTCTAACCAATGGCCTTTTCAAATAGTAAGTAAAATCATTGACCTTTCATTTCTTCGTTTTATTCAATTTACTTACAATAAACCCTACATTTGTACATTATACACGAAGTTTAATCATGAGATACTTTAAAAATAGCCAAGAGACATATTTTGGGAGTACAGTATTGAAGAAAAAAGTTAAGGGTTGTAGATTAGCAATGTAAGAGAACTGAAGCAAACAAGATCCGGCAGTAGCCAAAAACAAATACGTCCAAGAGACACAAAACAAAGAGGAACAAAGAACGATCTTGTTTAAAGTATTTCAAATAAAGAGATACTTGCATTTCCGAAGAGGTTTTTTTTTGTTTTTGTATTGTTTTGTTTGTTTGTTTTTTGTGACAAACTTCACTCAATAGCTTTGCTCATGAATTCAATGAACCTCTTCCCATATTGCTCTGGATCACAAGTTGATATACCATCAACATTTGCACCATACTTAACGGTCTTAGCAGCTTTTGCTGCTTGTTTTCTAACACCATAGTGAGTTAAAACATCTATTAGTGCTAAGAAGTATATTTCTTTCAGAGGGGCACCTGCAATATACACAAAAAAACAACAAAGAATTACAAAGATGAATGTACATTCAACCAAAAGTCAATGTTTTGTGTACCATTTCACACATTTCATTATTATATAAAATGTATGTTTAATATTATAAATTATTTTTAAAGTATTTTTGGAAACACTTCCCAGCATGCATTCACTCAAAGTTGCAAAGAAATTAAAGAGATAAATTTCACAAATGATCAAAAGGTCATTTAATTTCTCGTCAAGGAAATTATTTAGTAACGCCTACAAAACATGATGTTGAGCAATGGCAGGTTTAACTTTAATAAAGATGATTGAGCTAATGGATAAAACTTACAAGTCTATGTTTGTCTGTCTGCGTTTTCATAGGGAGGAGAAGGATTTCATATTGAGGAGAAATTGTTCAATACAATAAATTTGAAATGAAATAATATGCTACCTTTTCATTTCCCTTTGTCATCATCATCATTATCATAGTCATCGTTGTCATCACCAACATTATGACACTGATGATGATGATGATTAATAATAATAATAATAATAATAATAATAATAATAATAATAATAATAATTTATTACTTTATTGCTTGTACTTCAAGAGTACATGCCCTTTCCCTATTCAAAATTCGCAGCCCTGTCATTTAAGCCCTCCACACATTCAAATGAAATCTTCCAGGCACGGCAAGCACTGCATCTCTTGAGTGAAACATTATCACAGATTGAGGAAGTGACCCCAGGCTGATACCTATACAATGTCATATCCATTGTACCCACGGCGCAGAATTAAATGTAACAATCTTCCCAAACATAACATTCAACTGACACAAATGCAACCGTATTGTTGTAAGTGGTGTTCTGGTACCTTACGCTAAAGAAAAAAGTTGATAAAGTTGAGCATTTGTAACACTCCTCGAGATTCCATTTGCTCACTGTACACATTATAAGATAATCGTGATCCCAAAAGGTACGGGGAAACTTTTGCTTCTCCAAAATTATGGTGCCATACCACTGCCTTCAACTCAGCGGAAAGGTTGGGAAGGTAGCACTACGTGATGTCATGTTTGCCAACTACTAGCTTACTGTCTTCTTTTCCAGCATGCAGTGAAAACCTAATTATTTCTATTCTTCACTATCTATCCAAATCAATGTCATGATGGAGAAATGCGACTAAAATTCTCCATTCAGCAGCAGAGCTCTTCTACAAGGCAGCTTCAAGTATTCAAATATATTGGACCTTCAGCATTTTGATTACTTGTTACTCTAGTTTCAGTTGAAGTAGTGTCTCATGAAAAAGTCGAAAATAAGATGCAAACTACGCTGCAAAACTACGTTACAAAATTTTGAGTGGATGTATTTTTAATGGATGGGAAAGTTCTTTGTCGACTGTAAAGCATGTGAACATTCAGTGAATGAAAATTATTTTGTTTCTCAACACATTCATACTGCAAACACAAAACTACACAGAAAAAAGTTACTGTAAAGGACCCTTCTCTTCTTCCAACAGGAACTGGATCATCACAAACACAATCACTTTTTTCTTTAGTTATGTGTAAAACTGTTCTTGATGCAGAAAACCCAACATTTTTTTGAAAAATACATCAAAATATCTGTGCCAAGTGAATCAACTTTGTGCAAATGTTACCGAAAAACGTAAAAATATGAAGGTCTGGATTTCAATTGACATGGCAACTGATGCCACAGGTCATTTTCTAGCTAATGCCATCATTGGGTCTTTTCACTCTTCTTCAGAAAACCATTCAGAGAAGTAATTTTTTGTCACCACCAAATGTTCAGAGAAAGTCAATAGCACCACTATTACACAGTTATTCAGAATTTCATTGAAGTTAATATGGTCTTATGAAATTCAACAAGGCAATGCGAATGATGCAGCACCGTAAATGAAAAAAGTGACAAAAGCTTAAAAACTGTTAATTCCGTCTATGCTTCATGAGACTTGTGTAGCTCATGAATTTCACAGTCAGAAGAAGCAACATGTTCATTTCCGGAGGTGGACAAATTGCCTGCAAACATTAAGAAGATATTTTTGAAATCTCCTTCAAAAATCCAAATATTCAAAGAAAGAGATGTTTTAGATCGGTCCGTGCCTCCTCAACCCTCCTTGAGGAGGTTGTTCCTCACATCCAAGGAGGTAGGGGAACATGGATTTCAGGAGCTGTCAACTATTCCTCCAATTTTTCCAAGAATATGAGGTGTGGTCAACACTCTTGAGGATGTAGCTTCATCCGTTGGATTAGCAACAAAAACTTCTTGATTCTTTGGCAACAAAAAATGACCAAGTTTTTATTATGGTTCCTTTCAGTTTTTGCCAGATGTCATCACTCAAATTGAAGAAAAGACGCAGCTTTTAAGTGAAATCATTAAACTTGTGAATGATGCTTCGCTACAGAACATGCCAAGAGAAAAAGAATTATTGGTATCAGAAAAATGCAAGTGCTTTCCCAAAATTCTAGAGAATGATAATGCAGCTGCTGCAGTAATGGATCCCACTGATCTATTGTCTGGTGAAGATTTACTCCAGTAGCATCCATTGATGCTGAGAGATCTTTTTCTCAATTGAAGAATATTTTGTCAGACAGAAGGCACCACTGAACTACAAAAAATTAAGACAACACTTCATTGTTTAATAAAACCAATAATGTTTTGAATCTTAAGATATTTTGTCATAAAACTGTTGGCTTTTTTTCGTATAAGTTTTTTCATCTTATTTTTATTGAAATGTTTTGGAAACCATATTCTAGAGCATTGTGTTTAACTATAATCATGAATTTAATATTTAAAAAAATTATTTTGGCTACAGTCGCAGTTTTAAGTGACTTCTTGCCAGCCTATTTTATAGATTTATAGTGCCCAAAGTTCTGGTCTCTCATAATACACTACATACAGTACCAATATTTTCTTTCCGGAACAATAAAAAAAAAAAAAATAGTATTTCATATGGAATCCTTTATTATTAAGCAAGATTTTCAGTCATTGTAACATGCTTTCCAGAAGTTTAATGCACAGGAGCTTAAAAAAACTGATGCTGTGGGAACATAATACATTGCATTCCTCAATCATCTGACATTTGATTGAAACCTTCCTTTTTCCTTCCACTTCCACTTATGTTTTTATTCTTATTTCCACTTATTTATTCCACTAGAGTATTTTTAATTTTTTGATGGGTTTAGCTGGTTGGCTGGGTGCACTGTCATTCATAAACATGTACAGGTTGTCATTAAATCAGTCTGGTGTCTGTTGCAGTAGTTCTTAAAGAACTCTAAAGTATTGGTCTTGTTTCATCATTCCCTCTATGATATAGTCTTCCAGAACTCGTGCAAGACATTATTCCCCACAGCATAACATATGTCTTAGGCTTAAGAGTTTATTCTACACATTTCAATTTGAAGGCCTCGACAGATCAACGTCAAACATATTTCGAACATATGATGGATACAGTAACAGAGGATGCACTGCTAAAACGGATTTTCTTCCAGTCTTCACACATCCAATATTTCAGGCTTCTCGCTAATTCTTTGCATTTCATTTCCACTCCAGGTGTAATTTTTGCTTTTAACTTTCTCACTCTTACTTCATAAGAAGAGAAAATATTGTAATTGTGCACTGGAAAACTGCAAATTTATGACAGATAAACTCCTATTGCCAGGATCTGGTTACGAAATAGTGGAGAAATCTTTTTGTATAAACAGTGTCCACAGAGGAAACATCAAAACTTCAAAAATAAGCTCTTAACACAATTTTAAGCATATTTTGTCTGATAAACTTCTTGGATATTGTGAAGGGCTGAGCTGCAATACGCACACAGAAGTTTTGTCTATGCAAAATTTGTATTGCAGAAACATATAATTAAACTCTCCAGAAACATGTAAATTGTTTATTATTTACAAAAGAAATTAATATATTTGTTCAGAATGAAAAATTAACACAAATAAAAAGCAGTTGACTTGTGTAAATTGGATTCTGAAACACGAGTTTCATTTTCTGTTCAATGCAAATTATGGTGCTTCCACACCACATACTTTCTCATATTATTAATAATTGGCACATAATAATATAATATTGCAACTCCTACCTTACTTTTCCTTCAGACATAATTTGTAAAACACCTAACTCTAGAACGTCCAGAGGCAGACTTCCACTCCTGGCAATCTTTATGTACTTATAACTTCTTTGCTTTTGAAAATAGGACTTTGTAATTTTGTGACATTCCATCATTTTCATTTGTTCACAGTACGTTCCAAATTGAAACGTGTAAAAAATATATTTAATGAAATATAATCGAACTTACCTAGAACCTCCAGGAAGTGTCATTTCGACACCTTGTGTATTGTCCAAATCCCCAAGCTTTTGTTTCATGTATTTCAATGCTGAATTTTTTAAAATATACCACCTAGTATTTCAGATATCTTCTGAAGAAATATGCGACCATTATTTCCTCCTTGTTTTTTTCTAGCCCTCATGTTCAATTCATGCAAATTCAGGAGTTGTTTTGTGATGGTAGAAAATATATCACTAAGTTTCGAAAATAAAATTATCATCACAAGAAGGAATTGCATTGTTATCACAAAAAGGTTGAATGAAAAAATATTTCTTTAAATAATTCAGAAAAAGATAAATTTTCTATTGTAACAGATATTTTTTTATACAGGAGGGCATTTCGGACTCTAGATGGTAACGCTGTGGACTGATATTCTAAGTTGTTTAGACACGTCTTGTTTCATAATTCTCGAAATAATAAGAACGGTTTGGAAAGAAATTAACAGCAAATTTCATTGCTTTCATCTGAAAAATTATTCTGCTTTAGTATGAAGCGTTACACTTACAAACTGTGTCAATATTATGCGTCAGTGGAATGGAGTTAATACGCCAGCATTTTCCTTCTAAACTCAATGTATTTACACAGTTCATGGCATGAAAACTGGTCAAAATCGCAAACAATTGTGACTTTTGGGAAATTATCACTAAAATGCCATCTGTGAAAATTTTACATACATTGAAAATATTGTTGATGTTTAGTGACAGATGAAAAGAAATGCCTGGAAAATGTAGCAATGAATCATGCATAAGGATACGAAGCAGATGCTGATCAAACTTGTGTAGTATTCTACAGAATGTCTGTATAATCATCACTGTTTTAGATTTACAACTATAAATATTTATACTGTCTTTGCCTAGTAAGGTCAGAAATGTAGAAACTTAATGCAATGAAAACCTGAACAAGAACTACTGCCATTTCAAACATGGAATTAAATTTCTTTTAGAACTCCGTCCCATAGCACACATCAAGTTCCCCTATTTAAAACGAACATATGTAAAATATTTTGAATAAATTTCACATATTGCAAGATAGTATGGGAAGAGCGAAATATATTTTTGGGCCACATGTGAAACTAGTATTATTTAAAATTACATGTTTATAACGTTTTCTATTATTATTATTATTATTATTATTATTATTATTATTATTATTATTATTATTATTATTATTATTATTATTACTATTATTATTACTATTATTATTACTATTATTATTATTATTACTATTATTATTACTACTATTATTATTACTACTATTATTATTATTATTATTATTACTATTATAATTATTATAATAATTATTATTATTATTACAAAAATACTGTTACTAAATGAAAATTTACTTTTCAACATAAACTTTTGCCTGTTTACTGGCGGATTCAGTTCAACATGTGTTTTAACTTTGATTTCGCGAGACAGTAATGACAATAATTGTTTAATATACGTTTAAGTTGTGTTTGTCTATTACACACTACATTATTGTTTTCAATACTATTACAGTGATGTATGTAAATATTTTCCCAATATTTCCTTTAAAGAAGTAACACTGAAGGCAAGGAGTCGAAATGATTTCACTGGGTGTTCTAGGGGGTACTGGTAAGCCGGGCGTTCTAGTGTTAAGCAAACAAAGAACAAGAAGTGAGAAAACAACATATCTTTACTTTTTTTAACTTGAATGATAAAATGTAATTTCTGCCATTGAATTCTGAATGTTCTGCACTATTCCCACAGAAGATTTAAAGAAAAGAAAACATGAGAGAAGAAAAAAAACCTTGGAATTTGAAACTAAACACCATTCCTCTCACTAGCATTGGAAACTACCCATCAGTAGTCTGATCATAACACAATTGCTACTTTACGTCATGGTAATGTACATCCTGGCTTATGTGAGGCTAATGTAATGCTCAGTTTAAGTCCAAAGTATGCTTTGGAATTGTTCCTACTTTGGACTTCATCCACATACTTGGGTTAATGTGAACATAAACAGGATAATTCGTGAATTAGCAAAGTTCAGACATTACTTCTAAACAATGGCAGTGTGTGTTCACAAGAAATGGTGGTTCACCAATGGTGGATGTGGGCCATGCCCCTTCATCAAGCCAATATTTTTTATAATTTTACTCAACTTATTCAAAACAATTATCACAAGGATCTTATCACATCCATAGGAATATTCTCAAAAATGAATATCTGTTGTTTTTAACTTTAAGCAAAAAATTATTAATTCTTTTTTAATTATTTCAAAAACATTTATGAGAGAGAAACGTGAACCAAATGTGGTGCCCCCACAGATACTTTCTGGATCTGCCCCTGGAGTACGTTAATGATCTCTGCGAATTATCTGTATTACTGACTTCCAATGTGCACAGAAATTGAAAGAAGCTATGCAGCCTCTGGCCATGGTATAAGTGCCGATGGCACTGTCAGATTCCCAGGAATTTAGAAGTCCAAAAACAATGAAACAGTTTAGATTTTGACTGAAAAATGCAAATACTTGATAGTGTTTGCCTGCTCTCATTCTGCATGTACCAACTGAATTCTCACACTCAGGGCTCCTACTTACAACAGCTGAAATTGTGGCAGCCACACTCCAAGGAAGAGGTTTCCTGTCATTAAATATTTACTATTCACATGTTGTGTTATGGAACAATTCCTTTGATATTCTTGGCATGTAAAGAACTCCTGTACTGTGTATCCATATATACACAGAGACTTGCTCAGAGCTGATTCGAACTCCAGAATGAACATTGGTGCGATGTTAAGGCAAGGACACTGTGCTGAGCTCTCAACATAAGAAATTTATCTTGCTCTCTACTACAGTGTCCAACCAAAAAGAAGAGTACACATTTATTCCATTATAAAATACATTAATGCTGTAATTCACAGGAGGTTCTTTGAACCAATGAACTTATAGTATACATAAGCTGCCCTTGGTAGAAGTAATATCTGAAACTCATCAATTCTATGATATGATGTATTCTTTTGGGCGTTTATACCTGTTTTATAATATGAAATTAAAAATGAATGAAACATATGGTGATACTTTTCTTATAAAAAAAAAAAAATAATGATGATAATAATAATAATAAAAAATAAAGTCACCATTTTATCTTTTTTGAAATTAATGAATGACCCCAACAAGCATTCATACAATATAAGGAATGTGTATTACCTTCTAGACTTGGTATGGCATAAATATCTAGTTCAGGTACAATCCCAGTTTCATACTGTAAACTTGTTTCTCTGGCAAGTGCTGCATGGGGAGAATCAGGTGGTGTTGCACCCCCAGGCCAACGATCTCCTCCACGAGTTTCAAGTCCAGAACCACTTTCTGAATCTTCATCATCATCCACACCGTTATTTTCTTCTTCCTCTTGTTCTGCCCTTTCACGATTTTCTTGTTCAGCACGTGCACAATCATGGACTCCAAGCAGCAAAGAATAATCCATGAGATGAAGTTTCGTAAGGAACTGTATAAGAAAACATTCTTTGACTCAAATTGACTTGAATCAGTAACATAGTATAAATGGAAAAAAAATTAGTATCTTACATCTATTATAACTGACAAAATGATTCATACAAATCTTTAATTTTTTGTGTGTGCTAATTCCGCTATTTATTTCCGCCTTTTATTATATCCGTCGCACAGCGATGCCACTTGCGCGGAAGGAGGGGGGGGGGAGGTCTTAGGAACACAGCGCGACCTGCGCCAATCGGTTCCGAGCTCCTAGAGCGTCACAGTGCCTGTTCCAGTGAACCCTTGTTGAGTGTTGTCCAGTGAACTCTCGAGCAGCGATGCGCGATAAAGTTTTGTTTCAAACTTGAGAAGTCGTCATCCGAGACTTTTGAGTTGCTCCCAGAGCTCGGAGCCGATTGGCGCAGGCCGCGTTAACTCCCCCCCACCCCCAACCATCCGCGCAAGCGACAGAAAAAAATTGCTGGGCATTACTTTCGGGTCTGACATTGCACGTGTGCAATTATAGAAGTAAATACAAAATACAAATACATTATAAACAATGTTTAAATACAGAAAACAAAAAAATTGCACACACCTCCACGTCTGCAGTCAGGGTCTCCAAGAGTTTCTCTTTTGCTTCATCACCAATGTATATCTTCATACCCTCTTTCACAAAATCATTGTCCTTAAGTGTGGGCAGATCTTTCTCTTTCTCTTTGTCTGAAGCTTCCCGGTCAACCGTAGAACCCTTCAAATCAAATTTTCTGCAAACATGAACAAAATTTATATTCACACAGCAAACGGAATTGAAAAATTATGAATAAGAACATCAATTGATAGCACTTATTGTACACTCTTCCTCGGACTAACAATTCAAGAAAACCTAAAATGGAATGCTCACATCTCAAATCTTAACAAGAAGC